GGGGAGGCCAGACCCGCCCCGACCGCGGTGGGCGTGATCTCGTGGAAGATGACCCGGTGGACCGGGACGCGGGGCTGGAGGAGGTCAAGCAGGTGCCAGGAGATCGCTTCCCCTTCTCGGTCTTCGTCGGTGGCCAGGTACAGGGCCGAGCACGTCTTGGCTTTCTCTTTGAGTCGGCTGACCACGGACTCGCGCCCGGGCAGGACGATCCAGACGGGTTCGTAGTCCTGATCGATCTTGACACCCAGGACCTGCGCGAAGGATGGGTGAGTGGGTGAGAGGGAGGGAAGGGAGGGAGGGAGGAATGGAAGGTGGGAGGGAGGAAAAATGAGGAATATAGGGAGAGAAGTTGGGAGGGAAGAAGAGATCAGGTCCTGCAACAGAGGTTTCCCGGACGACAGGCGTTGGAACGCATGCGCCAACCAAAGGGGTACCAGGGGTACTAAATTGAGCCTTGGGGATAAAATTTTGAACTCAGGAGACCTCATACTCCTGCCGGTGGGAGCTGGATTCATCTGGGGGCGTACCTTACTCTTCTCCTTCTTCGCCGTGGGAGGCATATCGGCCAAAGTGCGTGGAAGCTCTCGGACGTGGCCCATGCAAAAATCCACTTCCCACTTGTCTCCACCCTTCCCCCCCGTGAGGAAGCGCTTGATGGTGTTGGCTTTGGTCGCGGACTCCACGATGATCAGGTTTGTGCCCGATGAGAGCCCCGGCTCGTCCCCAGTGCCTTCCGCCGAGCGGGATTTGCCCCCGTTTACTTTTTTCTTCCTTGCTCCGGCCGAAGTTTTGGCTTTGCTCCCTGCCTTGGATGATGTTGTGGATTTTCGACGCGTGCTGGTCGTGGAGGTGGTGGACTGGGCTGTGGCGAGTCTGACCACCGAGGCTGGAGGGAGGAGGCGATGTCGTTGATGATGAAGGGAGGGGAAAATGTGCGTCGTCACGTCGTGCTGCCGCCGCAATAAGATACGAAACATGGATGGAGACACAGGTACCAGAGGTCTGACGAAGGCAGTCGATGTAAACAAAGCTTGGGAGCGGGCCACTGTGGAAAATAGAGGGGCAAGGAGCAAGGGCAGGGGGGCCCAAGCAGTCGACCGTTTCCTTCTGCAGGTCATGCGGCCGGGCAATGGACCGTCCATCTAAATATCTCCCGCTTGATTCGATCCCTGACTGGTTGGTAACATGAAGTGAAGGTGCTCGTGTACAAGGATCTGTGGTTGTGTGGGCAAGACGATGAAGGAAGTCACTTCTGCTACTTGAAGAGCTCGCTTCAATAGGCGGATGACCCTTTCAATCCTCCTCAATTACTTTGTTAAAATGCCGGCATCAATTTCCCGAAGTGGCGTATATCTGTGCGTATAGAGTCGTAAAGACAGGTGCACACTCCTTGGGAGATGTACGGGCCGGTGAAACTTCGCGGTCCTGCTCGTGGTTGCTTTGTATCGGGCCTTTACCTGCTACCATTCTCAGCCAGTACGCATATGGGCCTAGGCCTCTCCGCTTTTTTTGTTTCACCCGTACATAAAAGCCTTCAGTGATCCTTTCACAGTGATAGACATGCTCAATACTTAAGTTCCTCAACAGGGGGCAGCCAGAAGGTGGCATCCACATTTGTTTTTGCTTTGCGGCTTGCAATTGCTTAGGAGGCATACTTAGGGTCGCCATAAGAGGGATTGCTCCACTCCTTCTTCTGGTATAATTAGAAGGCAAGATGAGCATCGCCGTGCTGGACGATGGGGAAGCCCTGGCACAAAGTATACATACCATCAGTACATCTCTGGAGGTAGGTGCTTGCAATTACGACACAAATACCATGGTAGACTGAGGCGCGGTTTCCTCTCGCCGCCTCGAGACAAGCTCGACACGTAGGACGCCCTGTATCCGCACAAATGGCATAATGTGTAGGAAAAAGATTCCTTTTGACATTCCTATCAAGCCATCAGTCCCCTGTGTCTAGATTGTCACTTCGCGACTGAGGTCACGGGTGCACCTTAATTTTCTTCTGCCCGCTGTCTCTCCTTTCCTCCATGACCCCCTCCCATCTAAGGAACATCATAAATCTACTCTCGAGTCCCTGTCCATTCTCGACAAAATCGACCATCGCCTCAGCAGCTTGGAATCCAATATGGCGCCCATCCGTCTTGTCACGGAACAGCTCACTCGTGCAGAACACCACGTGACCCAATCCTACGCGGCCCTGCGGCGAATTCACAAGAATTTCCGGGTATGCGCCGACGCCGACGTCGTCCTCCGCAAAGGCCTAGGAGCCCCTATCCCCGCTCTTTCCCAGGCTTCGGCTCCTACCATCACCGAGGAGGACCGGTGCGCCCTAAACGCGTACATGCAGATTCTTGATCGGGTGCATGCTGCCCTCACCTTCCTTAGGGTCCGCCCCAGAATCAGGTCGGGGGAGGCCGCCATTCGGCACCTGGACGTCCGTCGAAGCAAATTACTCGCGGAAATGAAGGAAGAAATCGTACGGCTGATTGTCCAGGGCTCTTGTTGCACGGTCCAAGGTCCCTCAGGCCGCCTGAGTCCATGGGGGGAGAGTCCCCTTTACCAACACACCGAGCCCATTGCCTTAAATATCTCCCGCCGCATTCGGGATATCTGCGAGTCCATGGCACGTGCTGGGGACATGCGATGGGCCGATGCCTACGCCAGAGCGCGCGGAAGCAAAGTTGAGGAGGCCGTCACCGTTTTTTTGCACGGGCAGCAACAGTCTTTCGGGGGCGGGGGAGGAAGCGGAGGAGGAAAGGGAGGAGAGACTCGCCTGTCTGTGAGCGTCTTGGGTGGTGCTAGCAGCAGCAACGGAGGGTTCGGCGGGGCATCGATTTCCCCGCCTAGGTTTGTGAGTGGCGGCGGCAGAGGGGATGGAGAAGTGGGGGATCGTACCGCTCTGCTCTCTACTCTGGGACGCGACGTCGCCGAAACATGGCTCAGCTACCTGCATTTTTTGCGCGAAATCATCAAGGGGGAAGAAATTATGTTCCTGCGCACCTTGCCCATGAATTTTGCGCAATCGATCCGGGCCTGGGAGGATATGATGGGCCAAGTCTTAATCCGGGTATGCAAGGAAGCGACGGAGGCCTTGGACGTCATGTTGGGGCGGGAAAAGACGGCGGGAGAGAAAGCCCTGTTGCTCCTGGCTGTGTTGACAGGCATGGAACACCAAATGCCCGCATTCGAGCAGGCCTTTGCCAATGTGACCAAACATGCCTCCTCCCCCGGATCCCCTGTCCCTACCAGCCTACGGGAAATCCCTGCCAGCACCACAGTCAAGCCCCACCACCGTGCCCGCCCTTCCTCCACCTCCCTCTCGCTTCGTCCTCTTTCCAAGGCTTTTGCCGCAGTGTCCCATCCCAAGGGGAACATCCTCCCTGCCTCCCCCCTTGACTCCTCCCCACCCCTTGCCCACGTTCACCTTCTCTACCGACACGTCTGTCGCCTGACGATCACTCACCTTCAAACATTCTTGGACGATGTGCTGAACGACTCCATTTCCTCCCACAACTTGCCACGAAATGCCTCCGTACACGTGGTTACCAGCAACACACTGAGGACCTTTAAGGTACGGGCTCTGCATCTATTCCTATTTTTGGGTGGTCGAATCTCCCATGATGATGAATCTATCCGGATCTTCCCCGTCTGTTTCCTTCTTGTCTTGCCCTCCCTGCATGCCACATGCTTTTCCTGCGGATTCTGCTCTTCCTGCCTTTGCCTGACTCAGCTCGGTGTCCCGTGTTCCGGGCGAAGCAATAGATCGTTCTTGCGCCCTTTCCATCCCCTTTGCACACCCCTTTCTCTCCTCCTTTCTTCCCTGGCCTCCTCTCCTGCCTCAGCGCATCATTGCCTACCACGAAATCTTCGAGCATCTTCCCCTCCTCGGGGGCCTGGCCCTCCTCCCGTGGGAAAGCGAGGAGGATCGAGCCGCCCTCACCAGAGGGAAGGAAGAGGCAGAGGAACAAAGCACGGGGGAGGAACAGCAGGAAACGCATTTGCGGATCTATGCTCATCAGTTGTTTATGAACCTGTTGAAGAACATCCAGGGGAAGACCGAGGCGTATCATAAAATGGACGGCGGCGTCGACAAATATAGCGCGGCGGGACAACCCCTCGTGTTTCTAATGAACAACGCTCACTACATGGTCTCCACCATCGAAGCATCCTCTTCCCTGGAAGAAGCTCCACTCGTGCGGACTGCCCCGACGTTCTCTTGGTGCCCTTCTGGCACCGTGTCGCTGACAAGCGTGGTCTCAGAAGCCTTCATGGACAGGCTCCGGACGGTCACAAACGACTCTCGAACCAAATTCACCGCCTCGGTCTGGGCAGACTTGGCGGAAGTCACAACGAACGACAAGTCATTGCCGGACGTAGAAAACACTTCAGGAGGACACCAGCTCACTTTCGAGGGGGGGAGGCTGGTGAAAGCCAGATTTTCGGCATTCAACACGGCCATGGATGAGATCTACAATACGCAGAAGTCCTTTTTGATTCTGGATGCAGGCTTACGAATGCAGTTGCGGGAGGAGGCGAAGGCAGCCTTCCTGCCTCCGTACACGACCTTCTACGATAAATTTTCCGGAACACAATTTAGTAAGAAGCATATGGACCAATATCTCCGGTTTTCTCCTGCGACAGTCAAAAGTATGATAGATGAATTGTACGCTGGTTGATATTTGCCATTTAGAGAATCAGAGGTCTCGGCTTCAATTGTCCTCCTCCATATGCTCCCCATTTCGTACGCTAATATGGTGGAATAGGCTCCCAGTCCTTTCGTCTGGTTAGCGGGTTACTTCTCTAGGAGGAAAAGGGAATGAAGTGCTTGAAAGCAAAATCAACAGGAAATTTGTATAGTGGTGTATGAGCCCTGCATGTCGATAAAGAAAATAATCTCACAGTTTTCATCGCATATCTCAACAAAAAAATGATCTGAAGTGGTTCCTTTCAAGATATCGTGGGAGGTAAAAGCCCTGTTTTGTGTATGTTCCATCGCAGACGACTTTCACAGAGAATGTACACTGTTTGGTGGAGCCTGTCTATGATAAGCCGACTACTCATACTTCAAATAAGCCATGTCATACTCAGCATGAAGAAACCCCTTTTTCAATGCGTAGAATGTTCTCAAAAAATGAGGGCAAAGGACTCGCTTAACGCAATAAGGCAATGCACGCATGCGCAAGACCCGAAAAATGGTTGTAATCATCGATCCACTCCTTTTCACCGCATCCAGCCTAAACAACCGCTCCCCATGACATTAGTTCATAGCTTTTATACGAATCTCGACCATTGGGTCGTCCCTGTGCATGTTATCGTTCCTCAACACAGCAGGATAAACTTCGGCGACACTTGGCACGTATTTCACTCGAAAAGGCAAACCTCTTCTCGCCGTACAGAATGGTCCAAATCGAAGCCAGGCTAGCACAGCTAGGAATTGATTTGCCGGACGTTATCGCGCCGAAAGGTGAGTGGTGGTATGTTCTTAATCATTTCATAAAATACCTACGTCTCCCACCATCTCCGTCCACATCGGTCTTTGATGCCCAGGAAACTACGCCCTTGCAGTGAGGACTGGAAACTTATTGTTTTTGGGTGAGTGTAGCGTGTACAAGAAATGATGGTGACACAAAGATTGGGTGATAAAGCGGCTTGGCATATTATGTTTGTTGGTGACGAAGGGGGGGGACATAATACTAAAGCACGACATCGAAGGATCATTTTCTTGACACACTTTCTTGCTTTCCATTTCACAGCCGGGCACATCCCGCTTCTTAAAAACGGCGTGCTGATGACTGGAAAGGTGGGTGCCGACAAGAGCCTGGAGGAAGGACAAGAAGCAGCGCAGGTTATTGCAATTAACCTCCTGGCCACCCTGAAGTCGGAATTGGGGGACTTGGACAAGGTAGGTGAGGACGCCCTTTTCTGCTCCTTCTTTCCACTATAGCCTCATCCGATTTCTTTGACGTCTGTGTTTGTTTTGATTGGCTCCTCTC